GAAATTGGAAACAAATGCGGATGATGCAACCCCGGTTTTTATTATTACATTCATTTTACAGTAAAACTATTGAATAAATTGCACTTAAATAATGTCAACAATACTATTTTAATCTTTGGTTTTATTTATATTTGCAAAGAAAATTATAATGTTTACATTGTTATTATTTGACAGCTTCCACAAATGTTGTAAACGCTACGGGTCGCCACCGTCGCGCACATAGCCAATAACTTGGTATTTATAAGGACTATTTTTGCTTGACATCGTTGTAAACGTACCTAATACCTAACTAACCAAGTCATTTAGTATACAGGTAAGAAAATAGGTATTGATTCAGTACAGAGACAGTAACCATTGGTTGTCTAGAGCCGACTGAGTTACAGAAGACATGGCTTCGTTACAAAGCATACAATTTAGTATAACCACAGCTACTGTCTCTGTACTGAATCAATCGTACCTGCATAATGAATGATTTGGCTGTCTGTATCTACTACACACTACTTTTATGAAAAATGTATCAAAAGTATGTATAATACAAGAATATTGTTCATAACAATAGGGTAGTTTCCTAAATTTTATTTTAATGTCCGTCTGGTACATTAATTTAAAACTTTAGACACGTATGTTTTTGTTTTCTCACAAAATTAAATAGTTTCGACGATATATTGATTTGAAATGTCGTGTGACGTCACAGCGTGTCACATTTTGTAGCACGGTGTGACGTAACAACCTCCGACTCCTAAACTTAGCGCCATTTTATCTAAGTATTGCAATTTAATACGAGAAATTAAAAAAAACGTGTCTAATATTTTTCATTATCTGACGGACTAATTAGATTTTTAATTTTGATACCCTGGAAACTACCCAATTCTACTCCAGAACGGAACGCTTCCGAAAAAGCAGACAAAACATTTTTGGTTTTTACTTTAATTGGGCCTCTGGTAACCTCACTCACACGACGAAACACAACGCAAGTTGCTTCACGTCGGTTTTCTGTAAGGCTGTGGTATCACTCCGGTCGAGCCGGCCCATTCGTACCGAAGCATGGCTCTCCCACACTTTAAGTTGAATGATTCTTTTTTCAAAATGGATCCAGTTGTTTACCATCACCAGTCTTCGGTTTTTGGAAGCGTTCTGTTTGCACCGTGTTTGTTGTAACGTCTCTACATAAAAACCTCTTTAGGGACGATTTTTCAATCATCAGTTCGTAACTGTAGAATAAAATTGCCATTTGACAGTTTTTAGTATGGAAGAATTGTCAAATATTCAAAGTTATTTCTCAGTTAAAATTTAACTGTGTATTGAAAAATCTGCCCCGTGTATATTTAATTTTATACTTGACCGGTTTTTCTTAATAACTCGGCTTGTTCCTTTTTAGAGAATAAGTTAAAATTGGGTTCTAAATTATTTTTTGGTGAAGGTTTATTCGAGTTGTTACGTTTTGAGCGCCTGTTTTACAATCTATGCTTAACTAGCTTCTACCAGCGGCTTCGCCCACCTTCCTGTGGAATATAAAGTAGCCTATGTGTTATTCCAGACCATAATCTACCTCTGTTGCAAATTTAATTCCAATCCCTCCAACCGTTCTGAAGTGAAGGAGTAACAAACAAGAATACGAACATAATAAGGTTAGCAGCTTCTGCCTGTAATATCGTACGCACAATCCCATTTTTCCCGTTCTCGTGGGATTTTAGAAAAATCCTCTCTTAGTGCTCCCCTACACTTTTCAAGCAACATACATGCTAAATTACAGCTTCCTTAGTCTAGTACTTTCGGCTGTGCGTTGTCTGTCAGTCAGTCAGTCACGGATGAGTTTCATGTAGCTACTATTAGCTTAGCTGAGTCATCACGTATCGTATTCGTGTATAGAAAAAAATAAATAGAAAATCGTAAATCCTGACGTCGTAAATGCGGGTTGGTATTCCAAAATATAATTAGAAATTATAAGCCCAGGTTTCCTCACGATGGTTTCCTTCACCGTTTGTCAGTGGTGTCTAAATAATCTTAGAAAGTACATATAACTCGGAAAAAGTCACATTGGTACTTGCTGTTGGTAGGTTTTAAACACACTCTTATGCATGAGAAATGGGCGTCTTAAACCTCCGGGACACCATGATATTATTAATAGCTTGAAAAAAAGGTTAATCTGATAAAAATATATCAGAATAGCTCATAAAATTCGTAGTAAAATACTATTGTTTAAGCATTAAAAACCATATCAAGTCGTAAAAAATGCATAAAAATTCATTCTATTGTGCAAATAATTAATTCTTAGAATTTGTTTAATATTATTTCGCCATTTTTATGCAATTGAGTGTAGCAAGTGCATTCAAATTTATTATTTTGTAACTGTCAAATTAGATATTCTGCGATCGTTATGAAATCTAGTCGTTTTATTAAACGGTTTCATTTATCTTGCCCCGTGTGTTTGTTTGTGTATGTAGTAATTGTAATGTCACCCGCTTCCTGGCGACAGATCGATCTGATATTTGGTACACACTCTTAATCTCGATGACCATACAATATAATCTAATTGTTTCCACAACTACTTCCATTATGGATATCAAACGAAAGGGCTTGATTGGTAGAATAGAGCTCATTGAAACCGTTTAATATAAAAAAATAGTATTATTTGTAAGTTCCTTTGATTGTGTCGTTGGTCGTGTTGTAAATGGGACTGCTGACCTAACCAATGTGGTTTCTAGTTTATTCCCAGTGTTTTTTTTTCTAATGTTCAGAACGTATTTGAAGCCCAGTGTTTGATAAAAATTTTTTTTTGCCCCACTAGGATTCTCTCCTTTGTCGTGGGTGCGTTTACAAACATACAATTTCACATACACATGACACCCAGACCCGAAATAACAATTTGTGGATCACACAAAGTGTTGTTCCGTGCGGGAATCGAACCCGCGACACGTTACACGGCAGCCGGTTGTCCAGCCACCGCACCAATCGTGCAGGCTCACCAATTTTATATGGAACTAAATTCTGCTCTATAAAAAGCCCATGTGTTATTCTACCCCTGTTGCAAATGTCATCCCGATCCCTTCAAGGCTTCAACCGGTTTGACGTGTATGAGTAACAAACAAACAGTCAAACTGCCTTTTTTAATATAAGCAAGATTAGTAAAATGCGCAATCAAAATAATCCTAGTATGATTTTATTTAAATTGAAATTAAATTATATTTTGTATTAGAAAAAAGAGTTTTTATAAAAAACTGGTCGACTTTTTTCTAACTGTACCTAATTATAAGTAAATTTTTATTTTTTAATTTATAATCGCATTTATTTTTAATGTTTTCGACACGTAGTACTTTAAGCCAATCTCTCTAAGAGTATTATTTATAAAATTTAATTTTATCGTTCGACTTGGCGATGCACTGTTGTGCATACAATATTTTATTTTGCCTATATTGTATTATTCCTCGTAGATTATTAATAAATAAATAATTTTATTTAACTTATTGTTTTATTTGACGACTTTTAAAAATACGAAGTGTTGTTTTAAAGCCACGTCATTTTCTAGGAGGTAACTCGGCTATCGATTCTGCGTCCGAATCAATAAAAAAAATTGTAGGTAAATTTTTCATTTTTCTGTAAATTACGGAAATCCGTAAGTGCGAGCTATACGCCGCCGTCTTGTAACTAGTTTTATAACGTGGCTTTTTTTATGGGATAGAAGGCAAACGAGCAGACGAATCACATGATGGTAAGCGATCAGCGCCGCCCATGGACACCCGCAACACCAGAGGAGTCACAGCTGCGTTGCCATCCTTTTAAAAAGGAATACGCTCTGTTCTTGAAGGTACACACAAACTCAAACATGTACCTATGTAATTGATATTATTATTCCTAATTCCATGAAACTCTAATAAGAAACATTGCTGTCGCTTATTCTGAAATACTGTCGGACTTAAACGATTTATTATAGCCGTATTTTTGACTATTGGCCCCAAATTTTCTCTTACATTGACTTCTGTGACAATGAACCTTTATGACTTCTGTGACATGCCCCCGAGAAATGACACGGTTTTAAAACTACATGCATGATTAAAACCATATATGATACCCATAGGTATATGGTTTGATCACGATTCGCGTGAACATCAGAATCGTGATTTACTTTGTGTTTTTATTATAACTCGATTTTATTTTCTTAAGGGACTGCCTCGTTGACAAGGGGTCTCGGGTTCGATTCCCGGGTTGCGCAAAGTATTTTTAGGTTTTTAAAAAAGTTCTCAGTAGTAGCACGGAGTCTGGAATTGTGCCCGGTATATGGCACTAGGCTCACCCCCTATTACATGGGACTCATAACATAAATAGTGAGAAGTGGGCGTTATATTGTAGAGGTATAGTGGCATTAAGTACCGTAGTGTGCACCTCTGTCTACTTCTTCGGGGATAAAGGGCGTAATGTTATATAATATTTTCTTGTGTTTAAGTGACTATTGATTGAGGGGTCGCAAGCGTGACTGCTTAGCTAGGGGTCTCGATTCCTGTATCGATGAAAATATGCTTCATTATTGTAGGGTATTAGAAAATATTCAGTAGGTAAGTATTTAGTTGAACTGAGTTTGAAATTATAGGTATGACAAAATGGTCGTTCCTTAAATAAATACCATTTTACTAATAACATAATTGGGTCTATCATTTCAAAATTTGGGGAAAATAATGTAATGTTTTATTATTCACTGGCTGTGGCCCGCGACTCCGCCTGCGTAGAATATGATTCCTGTTTTATCCCATGGGAGCATTAAATTGGGATACAGCCCATACCCTGCCTGTATACCAAATTTCATCAAAATCCGTTCAGTAGTTTCAGCGTCATTGACTGACAAACATCCAAACCAAACAATAGTCTGATAACAAGAAACTATTTATATTAAACACCCTCCTTGCATCCTCCATAATGAATTAAAAAACAATCTACTAAGTGGCAACCTTTTTACAAACAGAAATACCTGGCAACTAAAAAATAATCCACAAACACGGTAACCATAGCAACGAGAGAAACAACAAAAGACTGTTTATAAACACGAGTGACGTTAGCACAACGTATTTAGCCTAATTGTTTTAAAAAATAATAACAATGTCCAACCTTAGTGGATATGATGGAGAGGCAGTTGGTTTTGACTCAGTCAAACTGAATAAAACCGAAGAAAAGGACTCCTCAACTCAAACCACTGAATACAGCGAGTCTGGAGTCTCCTCGCAGACAAATGTCTCCAAGGAAACCGGGTCTTTAGTCACAGCTGATGATTTAAACGCTCAAGAAGAAGTTTTAAAGGAATACCCACCGCCTTTACTAACCGAATTCTTGAAAAAGGTCGTCCCAAAAATGCTGGAGCAGCTGGACCATAGTGACAAGGAACCGCTGTACAATTCCTCCGATTCCGACGAGGAAGAGGTCATAAACGCGAAGTTGTTTCAAGAGATTACACTGACGGATCTGCCGGGGATGGCAGGAGGAGACCAGTCACGTTGTATTCTTGATATGTCATGGAGCAGCGCTGGGAATTCCTTTGCGGTTTCCGTAGGCAGACTCCAGCATGTGAACTGGTGTGTCGAAGATGGTTTGATCCGTATTTTTACTATAAAAAGAACTGCTGGTGACACGTTTGTTCGGACCTTAGATTTGACTGAGAAAAGTTGTGTGACAAAATTGCTGTATCACCCAACGGTGTCTGCTTTATTAGCGTATGGAACAACGTCTGGTGAAGTAGTTCTATGCAACCTAAGGAATTTAGACGCGATTTTACTAACGTCGCCAGCTGGAGTCCATGAATCCAAGCGCGTCACAGGCCTGTACTGGGCTGACCCCGCTCTCGCCAACATCTTTCTAACTATGCATATCATGAATACTGGAAAGAGACGGGGAGCATCTGACCAGATCTTAATATCAGCTGGCTGCGATGGCACCATCAACGTATGGCGAGTAAACGCCAACCAAAAGATATTTGAAAATGTCGTCTGCTATTGTTTAAATGGCTCACGAAATATGGACTCCGTTAATATAAGTTGCTTCGACTTTATAAAGACCTATCCTTTGCGTCCCAGCGAGGAGAAAGTGGCGGATGATATTTTTGTAGTAGGGTGTACTTCGGGGGGTCTGTACCTATGCAAGATAAAGACGTATCAGCCGATCGTTGATAGCAAATGCGTTGATCCAGTGTATGAAGTGTTTCAAGGACATATCGGTTATATGCTGGATGTGGTGTTTAGTTACCAGAAGCCTGGAGTCTTCGTGTCTGCTTCTATAGACTCAGAAGTCAGAATCTATGATATTAACCAACCTAGTCCTTTAAAGGTTTGTATGGTTCATTTATAGATTCGACTTTGAGCATATTACATTACAATAATACCTCCCTAACTAACGAGCATTTGCGTGCAATGTAACATATTGATTCGACTTTGAGCATTTCATAGGGGAAGTGGAGCGCATTGATGTTACAAGTTGTATCAAGATATTACACATTGTATCATTACAAGGTGCGCATTGTAATGCTCGGTTCTCCTCCTTCACTGATGTAATGCTCAGATCTGTAACGTTACATTACACGCGAATGCTCCCGGTGAGGAAACACCATAATTTTAAGTATAGCTTTTGACGTCACTGAGTTAAATAGTTGAGTCGTGGTGGCCCTGAGGTTTAAGACGCTTCTCACGAATCAGGGTGCGAGCTCAAAACCTACCAACAGCAAGTACCAATGTGACTTTTTCCGAGTTATATGCAATCCTACTTTCTAAGATTATTTAGACACCAATGACAAACGATGAAGGAGCTTAATTGCTTAATTCATTCTGTCTCCTGCAGTAATTCACCGAGGGAAGTGGAAACTATCGTTTTTTCCTTCTCCTCTTATAATATCTTCTGATTCACTTCGTTGCGGGAACCAAGACAGTTATTCGTGTTCCTGGAACGCGCCGGACTTCAGTGTTCCGGTGTTTTCATGGTTGTATCTACTGTAGATTCTGGCTTACAGGAGTTGCAGTGGTTTTGGGAGGTTGTAGAGGGCTTGTCCTGTTAAAAAAAACGGTGAATGAAAACATCGTGAGGAAACCTGGGCTTGTAATTTCTAATTAAAAGTTACAAGTGCTTTTGAGAAGTGGGTTAGTAGGCTCCGGTAACACCACTTTCAATCGGTTTAGTGAAACAAATGAATTTATTTCTGCAAATAGGCTACAAGGCAGCACTTTTACACGTCAATTTTATCAAGCGAACGATGAGGTCGACATTTCCTAACTGACTACTCTGAGAAGAAATGCTGAAACAAACTCAGAGGTCCGTCTCTTTAGGCACCTTTGAACCGCTTTTAAAACCGTCAGTGAAGCTAGTTGGCTTTATGTTCCAATTTCCAGGTTATCCACATTGACAAGGCTATCTCCTGCATGTCCTGGCTGCCGAACAACCCCTGTGTCCTCGTGATGGGGCTGGCAAAGCCTGATCCTCAACTGCTGCAGGTAGGCGTCAAGATAACATAAGTAACACTCACTTTTCACTATTTATGTTATGAATCCCATGTAATAGGGGGTGAGCCTATTGCCATATACAGAACTAGACTCTGTGTTTGACTCCGCAATTTTCTTATTTCATTTAATTTTGAACTTAGACTGCCTCGTTGGCCTTAGCGGTGTCGGGTTCGATTTACGGGTCGGCCAAAGTATTGGTTTTTAAATAAAATTCTTAGTGAGAGCCCTGTAATTAATTAAATCAAATTAGACTAATAGAATGCATTTATGTCAGCTTGGAGTTGTCATGCTCACTCAAAGATCTCATTGGCGGTGGCACGTGCATTGGTTCGCTCGATTCCCTACAAAATGGTTGAGTTGGGCGGTGCTGGTGTACGCCAAATGATCGTGAACGGACACCGTCGATTGGAACTGGTCAGCTCCAGACTGTATCTTTTTATTTTATTATCCTCAAGGTTATTTTCTTTTTCAGTCTCTTTGACTGGATTTAGGTGTTGCATTGTTCTCACATAATCGAACCAATAAAACTATGTAACTAGAGAATTGTATTGTAAACCTGATTGAAAAACCTATGGAGTTTCTTGCTCGTTCTTCTACATAGGAATCTACGCCTTGGAATGAGCAAATAGCTTCACTTATAAATTTTTGTTGTTTGACGTTCAAAAGTGCCGTCCTGGTCTAATTGAAATAAATGATTTTGACTTTGACTTTGACTTAGTAGTAGCACGGAGTCTGGAATTGTGCCCGGTATATGGCAATAGGCTCACCCCCTATTACATGAGAGTCATAACATAAATAATGAAAAGTGGGTGTTACATTGTACAGTGGCATAATGTGCACCTCTGCCTATCCCTCCGGGGATAAAAGGCGCGATGTTATGTTACTTATTCATCATTAATATAAATAGTGAAAAGTGGGTATTACATTGTAGGCACAGTGGCGTTAAGTGTCGTAATGTGCATGTCTGCCTACCCCTTCGGGGACAAAATGCGTGATGTAATGTTGTCATTACCGTCTTTAACTGTTCACCGTTCTTTCCTCACTGCATCTGCATTCGGGAGTAAAGATACAGAACCACTAGCGTTTTTCTCTTCTTGATCAGTCTTTCATTTTTTCATAATGTTTTCTTATACAAGTATGTTATTGATTGGTAACGTATTATGTTGTATAAAAGGCAATTTAGTTACCTTTACAATGAGAGCATTTTGTAGTAAAAATAATATTTTTTTAAAGTTATTGAGGGTACGATAAAATGAAAAAAGAAAACGTTAGGCAGTTTGTTTGCTTCTAAGAGTAGATTTATTTTTCTCTAATATCTACACAGGTGTACAATGTGAACAGCGGCCGTCGTGTGCCAGTGGAAGGTCTAACTGGCGGCGGTGGGTGTGTCGTCTGCCTCAAAGTCAATCAGACGAGGTGAGATATCGCAGTTGTACTTCATCAAAGTCATTGAAACTTTTACAGTCGACGTCAAAATCCTTAAGGAATTTCAATTAGTAGCAATTGACGTTCCATCGTCTCTGCCTACCCCCCATGGGAGATAGGTATTTCAAAATCTTTTAGGTATTCCAATAGGATATTTAGTTTCCTAAAGTTTGTACTAAGTATGTCCGTCTGGTAGATTATTTAAAAAAATTAGACACGTATTTTTTATTTTCCTACAAAAACAAATACTTTCGATGATATATTGATTTGAAATGTCGCGTGACGTCACTTCTAAGTACGTTTTATACGTAGAAATGACGTAGCTAGCTCTCGATCCTAAACTTTGAATCGTTTTATCTAAATATTTTTTTAAACGTCATAACAAAATATACGTTTCTAATGTTTTAAAATAATTTGCCAGACGCCAGACGAATGTTAAAATAAAAATTAGTCTTTTACCTTATTGAAATATACACCGTGTAATATATTTCGTTTCATCCAAAACAACTTGCCATAAGAAATACTTTCGATGTACCTATAAAGTAAACACAAGGAAATAAACATATCATATTTTTAGTCAAAACAAAAGTTCATGGAAATATGCACATGAAACACTAGACGTAAATTTGTTAGCACTATTCGCAACGCACGTGCCACCCGACGAGAAATACGTCTTCGACAATTACATCATACATTTTATTTATGTCATAAGCCGGTAAACGAGCAGACGGATCACCTGATGGTAAGCAATCGGCGCCTGGAACACCAGAAGCGTTACAAGTGCGTTACCGGCCTTTTGGGGATTAGGAGTTTGAGGATCGTTGGGGATTCAGGGATTGGGGAGATTGTGGAAGGGGAGGGTGATTGGGCCTCCGGTAACCTCACTCACACGACGAAACACAACGCAAGCGTTGCTTCACGTCGGTTTTCTGCTCGGCCGGTATCACTCCGGCCGAGCCGTCCCATTCGTGCCGAAGCATGGCTCTCCCACACTTAACAACAAATAACTTAACAAGTTTGCTTTTTGCAATGGTTCACCAGTTATTTATTGTTTTTAAACATTTTATTTCTTTGTAAAACTATTGTACCTATTATCAAGACAGAACCATTTTGCTTCGGGACGAAAACGAAATAGATTTCACGATGTAAAGAATGTACAGCTATAATTTGTTCTCTTATTTCTATAGTGTGTGTCGCATCGCCGCAGCGGACTCCAGTGGCAACGTTCGAATCTGGGAGCTACCGACGCGTCGCATCAAAATTACACCCGGCGACCTAGAGTTTTAGGTAGCCTAGCACTAAATACTAAAACACTAACAAGTAATACGTGAAAATATTTTTAACTAGCGGCTTGCCCTAGCTTCGCCTGGATTCTGTTTCCTGGAGTACCCGATGTATCGAGTCTTTCATTTATTCAAACCCAATTGATATAAGTTTTTTTTAAGGGGGGAAAATCATCGAATGACTGCTCCCGCCTAGGTGAGGCGGGAGGGAGTGTCAGACTCTTACTGACTAAAAACCACCCCGTTCCTTCTCCTGCACGTCGAGCCGGAGCCCCGGTTACCTTCTCCGCGACATTAATATAAGTATTCATATTTTGTTATCGTTAGGACAAAACAAACAATCGATAACAAAATAATTATACAATTCGATACAGTTATTCGACAGTTATTGGCGCTGTCGTGTGACATAGTAAATAAATTATTACGTTTCCGGCTTGCACACGTAACTATTTGACGAGGAACTCGACTAGTTTCTAGCCATGCTTTTGTTTCAAAGGGGGGAAAAAATCATCGAATGACTTCTCCCGCCGGGTGAGGCGGGACGGGAGTGCCAGACTCTTACTGACTAAAAACCACCCCGTTCCTACTCGTGCACTTCGAGCCGGAGCCCCGGTAACCCGTTAAGTTCTCCGCGACTCCGTATCGGCATCAGCCCTATTGGACCCCATCCGTAGTGGTCATATTCATGAGCAGCATTCCGACACACGACGCGGCTACTCATAAGCCTCTATTACGGCTTGAAGACCCGAGCGTACGGCGCTTTGCGTTCCGCGCGCGCCCTTAAAGAAGCCATCAGACTACCACAGATGGGGCCCAATATGGCTGATGCTAATACGGAGCCGCGGAAGACTTGATGGGTTGCCGGGGTTCCTGCTCGAAGTGAAGGAGTAGGAACGGGGTGGTTTTTAGTCAGTAAGAGTCTGACACTCCCTCCCGCCTCACCCAGGCAGGAGCAGTCATTCGATGATTTCCTCCCCTCAAAAAAAAGCATGGCTTGAAACTAGTCGAGTTCCTCGTCAAACGTCGTGAATAAGTCGAAAACATAATAATTAATTTTATGTCTGAAGAAAGTTTTAATATAAACTATGTTGTATGTTAAACAGCTTCAATGAGGTCTATATTACTTACACACGCGTAAACGACACGTGTTTCATGACGATCCCCTTCTATCGATACAATTAAAACAAAATAATGCAAACACGGGATACTCAAGCTAGGCATCCAGTATAAAGAGACCGTCAAGTATTCGGGAAGATTATACGAATATAGGTCATGATATACTGGTATTGATGACCAGTATAAGCTGGCCGTCGAGTATGAGGAATGGTCGTAAAACGCCAGACCATGACATGCTGGTTATGTATGTGCAGCTGAGTTACTGTGTACCTAATAATACTGTTTGCTATGCATGTTTGTACATATGTTCCAGTGTTGCAATTACGTCGAACTGACGTATTGGCAATTTTGTGTTTATTTTGCAATAATTCATGCTTAATAAAGAGTTGAATGGAACTTATATGTATGTATTGCAACATAATCTTATACTGTTATGTAAAACTAGCTACTTCCACGCGGTTTCACACGCTCTGCTCAGCTCCTATTGGTCGTAGCGTGATGTTTTATAGCCTATAGCTATCCTCGATAAATGTGCTATTCAACACAAAAAGAATTATTCAAATCAGACTTGTAGTTACGGAGATTAGCGCGTTCAAACAAACAAACAAAAAAACAAACTCTTCAGCTTTATATAATAGTATAAGATTGAAGAATTTGTTCGTTTGAACGCGCCAATCTCAAGAACTACTGGTCCTATTTGGATAATTATCTTTGTGTTCGATAGTCCATTTACCGAGGATGGTTACAGTCTAAACATCAGACCATAATGTATACTTGTTACAAATATCATCTCTATCATTTAAGCCGATGAACCTATTTGATTGGAATTCAATATAACGATGGTTTGAGACCCAGGCAAGGACGTCTCAGAGTTTTGAGGGAGACCTATAAACTATGCGTTAAAATTCCGGGACTATATCTTTTCAATCACTGTACCTATTTGATTAAAATTCGGTACAAAAATAGTTTTCAACTCGGGAATGGAGATAGAATGGTTTTAATCAATGAAACCTCACGAGGCGAGCTCTGTACGGGGTAAAAACTTGCGGGATTTTTTTTTTGAACCTACGAAAATGATATGTATGACCTAGGTACTGAATCAATTCTGACGATATTAATTGTTACCGTGGAATGTCTACATAACATCATAACATAACATCACGCCTTTTATCCCCGAAGGGGTAGGCAGAGGTGCACATTATACCACTGTACAATGTAACCCACTTTTCACTATTTATGTTATGAGTCCCATGTAATAGGGGGTGAGCCTATTGCCATATACCGGGCACAATTCCAGACTCCGTGCTACTACTGAGAATATTTAAAACCCAGTAATACTTTGCCCGACTCGGGAATCGAACCCGAGACCCCTTGCCCGGCAGTCGCACTTACGACCACTCGGCCAACGAGGCAGTCCGTGGAATGTCCCTTGGTTCAAAAGCCTAATACGGTAGTTTACAACTAATCAAAATCAATACTTTTATCGAAACGATACTATTATATGGATTTTGTACGAAATACCATCTTATGACGTCATCATATTTTCGCGTCAAATACCACACTTATATCTAAAAAAATACTAGAATAAATCGAAAATTAAGTATATCGGCAATGAATGAAAGTGTGACTATTATTCAATATTTAATGGGGATGATGACAGGGTATGAAAATTAAAAATATAATTAGTCCGTAAGTTAGGTAATGAAAAAATATTAGACACGTATTTTTTTATTTTGTCGTATAATAAAACAATACTTAGATAAAACGAATCAAAGTTTAGGAGTGGGGGCTAAAACGTCATTCCTTAGTATAAAATGTACTGAGAAGTGACGTCACGCGACATTTCAAATCAATATATCTTCGAAACTATTCGTTTCTGTGAGAAAATAAAAAATACGTGTCTAATGTTTTTAAATAATCTATCAGACGGACATTAAAATAAAAATTAGTCGTCTACCCCATTGGACTGAAATTTTTTTTCTGTTAAATTACCTATGAAACTACCCTATTCTACCAGAAACCATTATACTACGCAGATGAAGTCGCGGGCAACAGCTAGTTATATTAATCCTTACTAATATTATAAATCGGAAAGTGAGTTTGTCTGTTTGTTCCGACTTCACGCCGTAACTACTAAACCGATTGCATTGAATTTTTGCAGACGTAAAGTTAGAAGTCCGGATTAAATAATAGGGTACTTTTTATCCCGAAAAAATTTGATATTCCCGAGGGAAAACAAAAGTATTGGTATAGATGGCGCTGTGTGTATTGGTATATGTCACAGGCTTTTTATCCTTTTGTGACGCGAGCGAAGCCGCGGGTAAAAGTCAGTAAATTAATAATTACAATTGTGTATGTAGCACAAGAAATGTATTTTTAGTTATTATGAATAATTTATTTTGCTTCTTGTTTTATAAAATAAAGATGAGTATAAAAATATGTCCTGTGTGTCATTTGTCCGCCATATCCACGCTGGCAAACAGTTTTGAGATCGCAATATAAAAGGTTCGTGTTTATTAGGAAGCGCTGCAGGCTGCCCAGACTGTATGGAGATTACGTCGGGTATACGACACCCGCGGGAAGAATAAGGGTGACTTAAAGTTGAAAATAAAAATCATCAGCCTATAAGTGCCTCTTCTCGCACGGAGAAGGTTTGATCATTAACCACCACGCTAGCTCAATGCGGGTTGGCGATTTCAAACTTATAATTAAAAATTATAAGCCCAGGTTTCCTCACGATGTTTTCCTTCACCGTTTGTCAGTGGTGTCTAAATAATGTTAGAAAGTACATATAACTCGGAAATGCAAAGACGGTATATAATCACATTTTTTTTTATTTCATTTAAAAATTACAATACATACGATGTATTAGGGAATTATGTCGACTAACTCAAAATATACAATTTTTGTTGTTTCCTCTTCTTATTGCTGTATCCTTTGAGTCTTCTTTTGGTTTCACAGCTTCTGTAAATAAAGGAGACGCTGAATTTCAGTATTAAGTATTACAATTAGGTACACTAGACAGGCATATATCGACCAGATTGGCGATATGTTAAAGAAGGGCCGAATTAAAAGGAAAAGACTGATGACTGCCGTTCCATATGTATCGTAATAATATAAATTCAAATTGGAAATCCCGCTGGGGATTTATGTTCCGCATTCGACCTCGCTTCGCAACCATCTACCTGGCAGCGAGTGGAAGACCAGACCTCCTCCTAGTTACATATACGTACAGTATTGAAATATGTATCAGAGACATTGTAGAACATACTTTTTTAAAAAGAGTAACGAATGGAGTTTCTTGCTCGTTCTTCTCCATTCGAATCTACTTTTTGGAATGAGCACCTAGCTTCACCTAGTTTCACTGACGGACTGACTGACAGACTATTATTTATTTTGTATTTGTTGACGTTTCAAAAGTACCAAACTATGGTTTAATTGAAATAAATGTTTTGACTTTGACTTTAGTTGGGAACTACGTAGGCCCTGCTGAAGACCTGGAAGCGCAATTGTGAACGAGGCCGGACCGCCGGCAGAACTACTCCACGGTTTAGACCTGTGTTCTCGACGTACCTTAGTACCTCAAACCTGGACGTGATTGGGGCAACAGAAATTGGCATAAATAGAGTGAACTACCTTCTATCAAAGCGAGTACTTTATTTAGACCCCTGCCTACTCACCTGCCGGCCACCTGACTACTGAAGGAAAACAGGTGCCGCACATAGTCTCTGTCTACCACTATGGATGATAGGCGTGAGGTTTTTTTTCCTTCTTTTTTCTTTTTAATAAAAACGTTGCCCCACACTAGGATTTTCTCCTGTGTAGTGGGTGCGTTTACAAACATACAATATTACATATACATGACACCCAGACCCGGAACAACAATCTGTGGATCACACAAAGAGTTGTTCCGTGCGGGAATCGAACCCGCCACATGTTGCGCGGCAGTCAGTTGCCCAGCCACCGCGCCAACCGTGCAGTGCAGGTTATGTATGTAATTAGGCACATCATTATTCAGTAATTTCCTAAATCAAAATTAATAATTACGAAAAATATTAAAATAATTATTTCATGAACTATGTTTAAAAAAGCCGACTTCAACCCCCTCTTTTTTGAAGTCGGTTAATTAATATACTAAAGCCTTCTCCTAAATGTAACACTTTTCTGAAAACCGCATCATAATCGGTTCAGCTAGTCGCGAGATAATGGCGCACAAACACACATACATAGATACATAGATACGCGACATCAAACAGATAACCTCCTTCGTTTTTGAACATAACATCACGCCTTTTATCTCCGAAGGGGTAGGCAGAGGTGCACATTATGGCACTTAATGCTACTATACAACGTAACACCCACTTTTCACTATTGATGTTATGAGTCCCATTTAATAGGGGGTGATGTTCTGTGGGGTGAGCCTATTGCCATATACCGGACACAATTCCAGATTCCGTGCTATTACTGAGATTTTGTTTAAAAACCCAGTATTACTTTGCCTGTCCCGGGAATCGAACCCGAGACCCCTGCCTGCCCGGCAGTCGTGCGACCACTTTGCCAACGAGGCAAACAAGCAGGCTTTTGTTAAGTGTCGGTGCAAAAGAAGGACTATTCTATAATATAATACTAACTTGTATCATTGCTTCGCTCTCCGGCTGGGCTCGGTGGCGGTGGGAGGCGGGGGGGGTCCTTTCTTCTCCAGTTCCTCGAGGTAGCTCGTCAGGATCGCCTGCCTCTCCTCCGGGATGTGGTCCAGGGCTGTGTACCTGCAAGGGAGACAGTTACATCAATGGTTTTTATGGAATACGAGGCAAACGAGCAGACGGTACATCTGATGGTAAGCGATCAGCACCGCCCATGGACACCCGCAACACCAGAGGAGTCACAGGTGCGTTGCCGGCCTTTTAAAAAGGAGTTCGCTCTTTTCTTGAAGGTTTGAAGGTCGTATCGGTTCGGAAATACCGCCGACGACAGATCATTCCACAGTGTTGCTGTGCGAGGCAGGAAGTGTCGGGAGAAACGCACAGTCGTGGCATGGTTCTGTCTGTCTGTTTGTTCTGGCTATAACTCTGGAATGGCTGGACCGATTTCGATGGGACTTTTATTGGCAGGTAGGTAATGAACTAAGAAGTAACTTAGGCTACTTCTTCCACGCGAACGAAGTAGCGCGCACAGGTAATCCTTACTAATATTATAAATCGGAAAGTGAGTTTGTTTGTTTGTTCCGCTTTCACGCTGTAACTACTAAACCGATTGCTTTGATTTTTTGCAGACGTAAAGTTAGAAGTCCGGATTAAATAATAGGATACTTTTTATCCCGGAAAAAATGGATATTCCCGAGGGAAAACAAAAGTATTGGTATAGATGGCGCTGTGCGTCTATGTTATTACGCCACAGGCTACTTTGTTCCTTTTGTGACGCGAGCGAAGCTGCGGGTAAAAGCTAGTGATATTATATTTTCATTACCTGGCATCGTGTTTGAGCGCATCTAATACATGTTGCAGCGCATTAGGGTTGTCTTTGACCGCGGCCAGTGACTTGTGTGTGATGGACCTGGTCTCCTGCAGCAACTGGCGCATCGCCGTCTTCGCGGCTGACTGCTTGTCCCGCTGGTAATCGCGGAATTCACGTTCCATCTGAAATGTGATATAACGTCTCATAATGTCGCCGCGTGAGTGAAGCAGGTGTCGTCGTGGTGGCCCGGAGGTTTAAGATCGCTTCTCATGCATGAGGGTGCGGGCTCAAAACCTATCAACGGCAAATACCAATGTGACTTTTTCCGAGTATGTAATACCAGGTGATCGGCAAGGTTCCTATAGTTATCAGAAAAATATTAAAAAAAAATCAGTTAATTATTAAATTATAATATTACAGTCTTGACCCTAGTTATCCTGAATAGTGCTTCAGTATAATGAAGTCATAAATTGTGAAGCAACTGCTTTAAGCCTGAGTGTACCTGCGTGGTCTAAGATTATTTAGACACCACTGACAAACGGTGAAGGAAAAACATCGTGAGGAAACCTGGACTTATAATTTCTAATTATAAGTTTGAAATCGCCAACCCGCATTGAGCAAGCGTGGTGATTAATGCTTTAACCTTCTCCATGTGAGAAGAGGCTTTGCTCAGCAGTGGGCATTTATAGGCTGTTGATGATGTACCTGCGTGGCGCTGGAGTAGAGCGGCGCGGTGGGCTCGGCGGTGAGCATGGCGCGCACGTCGCGCCAGTGCGCCGTGCACGCCACGCCGCGCTCCGCCAGCAGCGCGCGCAGCTTGTCGCGCCGCCGCCCGCCCAGCGCGCCCGTGTGCTGCATGAACAGTCGCTCCTGGGAAACAAACAAACAAAAATAATTTATTTGGTACAACACCAGGCACAAACACAATACAATAAATACGCAAACAAAAAATTAGGAGTGAAATAAAAAAATTAAAAAAACAAAAATAGATATAGGTAGGTATATGCAAAATTTACAAGTTAAATATACCAACAATAATCATGTGCCCGACTGCTGCACCAAAAAGGTCCAGTTCAGCATAAATGCCAGACATCTAGTACCTGAGGCTGATTTTCAACTGAACCTGTGGCTGGTACGGGATTAGTGTTTGTTACAACAATATTACTACGAACTAAGGGAATTATAGGGGAACTAAGGCCCCTAACCACTCTCTTCTTGACTCGCCTTCTTCGCCTACTTATCTATCCTCTCCCTTCCAATACACATGCGCAAACCACAGCAAATATCTTCGCTCTTCTAATAATCGCCTCCTCCAATGTCCAACACATCGTACTAAATTTCTTCATTCCTCCTAGATATAGTTAAAATCTAACTCTAATCTATCTCTTACCTTGTCATCTTTAGTGAGTAGTTCAGCCAGGCTGTATCTGTGGTCCTTTTTGAGCTGTTTCTTTGCATCTCGCCATGATAAGTCTGGGTTCCTTACTAGATCCGCTAGCAACGCGTTGAAATGCTGCAAAATAATTAAATAAATAATATTGTACATCACATAAACACAGAGGACAACAAAATATAGTATTATTTAAAGATGATTCAAAGACTGATAAAGATGAATTAAAAACATAATTTAAAAAGTCATGAGAAAGATTTTCAAACATCATTTTTATGGCACAAGCCCGCCACACCCTCCCAGAACCACTGCAACTCCTGTGCACCAGGATCTACAGTAGATACAACCATGAAAACACCGGAACACCGAAGCCCGGCGCGTCCCAGGGACATGAACGAAATAAATCAGAAGATATTATAAGAGGAGAAGAAGAAAAAAAACGATAGTTTCCACTTCCCTCGGTGAATTACTGGAGGAGACAGAATGAATTAAGCCTGAAGGCACAATCCACCTAGTAGAAAGGAAATTTTGTAGTCTTTTTTATGGGATAAGCCGGTAAACGAGCAGACGGATCACCTGATGGTAAGCAATCGGCGCCGCCAGTGGACACCCGGAACACCAGAGGCGTTACAAATGTGTTACCGGCATTTTGGGATTAAGAATTTGAGGATTGTTGGGGATTCAGGGATTGGGGAAGGAGGGGAGAGTAACTCCGGTAACCTCACTCACACTATGAAACACAACGCAAACGTTGCTTCACGTCGGTTTTCTGCTCGGCCGTGGTATGACTCCGGTCGAGCCGGCCCATTGGCCCAAGCATGGCTCTTACACATTTAGAAAAGTCTACTTATACACTAACCTGCACAGCCTCGTCCCTCTTATGGTACTCCCTCTCCTTGTCCCTGTCCCTTAAACTAGTGGCGAGCGCCCGCTGCACCTCCCGCTCCCTCTCCTTGATGGAGGCCTGTGCCCGAGCCTCCTTCTCCCTGGCCGCCGTCTCTGCGTCACTCCCGCCCTCCACCTCCTCCGTATCCGGTTCCTCTACCTCCTCTGGCTGCGGCTCCTATAGGGTAAATGGGATTAGAGTACACGCTTTTTAACAGACTTCAATAAAGGCGATTCTCAGATTTGACTTGTATGTATGTATGTATGTTTGTGCGCCATATCTCACGATTGGCTGAACCGATTTTCAAGGGGGTTACATTTAGGAAAAGGTTACAGTATACTAGCGACCCGCTCCGACTTCGCACGTATAATACATATAAACCTTCCTTAAGAATCACTCAATCTATTAAAAAAACCGCATCAAAAGCCGTTGCGTAGTTTTAAAGATCTAAGCATACATGGGAACGGACAGACGGCGGATAGCGACTTTGTTTTATACTATGTACCGTAAAATGGGGTGAATAGGGATCTAGAGGACAATAGGGTCAGAAGAGGGGTGAATCGATACTATGAAGGTTTTCCTTATATCTATTCACCCCTCTTCTGTCCCTTTTCGCCGCTCAAACCTTATTCACCCCATTTTACCGTAGTGATTCTGCAAGCAGCTTCGTCCGCATTCATTGCATCATGCGGGGCAGTGTGAGAATCGCCTAACGCATTTTTGTCCTATAGTTGACCAAGGACATTAAAAAAAGGCTCTTGTCCCCCTCCCCCTTTGCTCGCGTAAACAATTTAAATTATATCTTTTTTATGTTGTAATTTTAATATTCTCTTAGATACCATAATGTCTAGTTGTTTGTCGATCTTTGCTTGTATTTTATAATTTCATTATGAGGGTTGCCATTCGTGTGAAAAAGTAAATAAATACCGATGACGTAATCATCATCTAGACTCCCCTACCCCCCTCCCCTTATGGCCTATGGAGAGAGGAGCATCATCCAAAATAAGCAAAACAGAGAGGCCCCCCCGCTCCCCTTGATGCTTAAGTAATACTTGAGCGGCCCCTTACCACCAGGTAAGACAGGGGCCAAACGTAGGTCCATCATATAAAAAATGTTTGGTTATGATTCCCATGTAATAGGGGGTGAGCCTATTGTCATAAGAGGTACATATAATTCCCGACCCGTGCTATTATAAAGTAATTTTCGAAAAGCCGAAAATAACCCAATATTTCTTCGCCAAGTCTTCTTGATCTTCTTTCCAAGTTACATGTACTTTCTAAGATTATTTTGACACCACTAACAAACGGTGAAGGACAGCATAGTGAGGAAACCTGGGCTTATTATTTCTAATTATAAGTTTGAAATCGCCAATCCGCATTGAGGAAGCGTGGTGGTTAATGCTCAAACCTTCTCCGTGTGAGAAGAGGCCTTTGCTCAGTGGCTACTTATAAACTGTTAACGTAATGGTCATATAAACTAAACGTGTACCTATACAAAATTTCAGTTCAACCGGTTGGAGATATCTGCTTCAAAATTCAGTTGCAAGATTTCACTTCACATACATCCCACTTACAAATGCGAACATTTGATTGTTACTCAATCATACCAAAACAGCAGGGATATGATCTACACACATAATAAAATCGTAGATCGTGCTGTTCATCCGGGATGATCTCCAAAAGTACTGCATGAATATTACTAACAGGTCAGGTCAACATATAGGCTACATATTATCACGCTATCACTTACGGGGGAGCTGTGAATCACTATTCCACGCGAACGAAGTCGCGGGCAACAGCTAATGTAGTATATATGTCGAAGACGGCAACACTCATCCCTCTTTTGATGTCGGAGGAGGCATGATTACGTTCCGGTTGCTCAGACATAATGTGGGCGGATATGAGTATCGTGTAAATAGAAAAAGCGTTTAGAATTCATCACTGAGTTCCTTATAATCACAAGGTACAGTAACTGGGTATTAAGCGAAACGCAGGGCAGTTTCGTGACAACGTCTTCACTCGGTAGTGACTCGATCTGAAGTGAGCTCCGCCGAGTGCCTCCGACGCTACGATTGCCTAAGCGCACCGATAATCCACTAGGTGCGATTGCGTTCCATTTAGCGTCCTTACTCATGAGCGACTCCGACATATATATCACATAATCATACCGAAAAAACAGTAGGGATCGATATGGAATTTGGAACAGGGGCAGATTGTGGTTTAGAGTAACACATAGGCTAGTTTTTAACCCACGGGAACGCGGACGACGACGCTGGCAGAAGCTTATACATTCATCCTACTAATCTTTATATATATATAATTCTTCTGTGAGCGTGTATGTCACTGAACTTCTCTGAAACGACTGGACCGATTTTGATATAAAAATTTGTGTGTGTTCAAGGGGATCTGAGAATGGTTTAGATTCACAAATCAGCCCGGCAGATGGCGCTGCAGTCGACGTTTAGGTTATTTATCCTAAACAGCTGAACTAATTTGAATGAATTTTTGTTTATACATTCAAGTGGATATGCAGGACAACGTCTGTTGGGTCCGCTAGTAATAATATAAGTGTGAAAGTTTGTGAGGAAGTGTGTTTGTAAAGGAAGCCATACACGCTAGGTATTGCATGATGATTTTAGCCGTGCATGCATAACCGACAGGCAAGCCCTAGCGTGTATGTGATTAAACTCGGTTATGCTTGTCGATTTTGCATGCAAAGTTATAACCATCATGCAAAACCTAGCGAGTATGGCCGCCTTTACTTTTTCACGTCAAAAACGTTGTAGGTATCGGAATGAAATTTAAATTTGGAACAGGGTTATGGTCTGTAATAACACAGTAGACTTTTCATCACGTGGGCAATGACGCTGGCAGACTACATTCATAAATCGCAAGATAAATAAAAATCACGTTGTACACAATCATCAATTTATTCACAATTGTTACAATTAATGTTTAAAATATTCAATCATAATTATTACTTATATAAAACCTATGTACATCATTGTTACATAATAATTATAATCGTACTAAATGTACTTCTAAAACGAACAAATGTTAATTTCATTGGAACAGCGAAGTGATGTACAAAAATCTGTGATTTTTTCAAAAATACTTAAATATTAAACTTAGCCGTTTCGATTTCAAAACTAAAGTAACATTTAGAGGGTTTCCACATCAATCGATCCCATCGATCGATGTTGATCGATTGATGTGGTAGTTTTACTTGATCGATGGATACCGATTGACTAACCAATCGATCGGTTGTCGGTCGATGGTATCGGTCGACGTTGATCGGACGCGCAATGGGGAGCTCAAACAGCTCGATCGATGTTGACTTTATATCCATTCTACCATCGATAGATCGTCGATCGATTGGTCTGGTAGAAACGAACGATCGACGTCGACTTTTTCATTCTCACATCGATCGACAGTCGATCGATTGGTAACGCCCTCTTACACAGGGTCAGTAACTTTTAGAGCGATTTGCTGTCCAAAACGCTGACTCAAAATATTCGTGTACGAATTTTCAAGTCAGCGTCGACTTTATGCCTTACTTAATGACTTCAACTCAATTTACATTGGTTTTTTTGGGTCAGCGCTGACGTGTATCGATTTGGAATCAGTTGCTGACTCTGTGTGATGTCTTGGGAAAAACATTAGTCAAGTCGAATGGTTAGAAAACACAATGTAATTTTATATATATATATATATTTTAATACAAATAATATTTTGTATTGATATGATTTGTCAAATGTCACTCTCAACCATTGACTGAAATGTTTCAGTTATGAAGAGGAATTCTATTTAGTCCGTCAGTTAGATAATGGAAACTTAATTATTAGACACGTATTTATTCTTTTCTCGTTGTAAGTTATAAAATTAAAGTTTAATAATAAACGACGTTTTGATTTTCACTAATTTATAAGTGACACCTAACAGTACAAGGGGTTAGTTTAGGTGATACGTCACACTAAGTAACTCTTAGTTAAGGAATCGTTTAGGAGTGGTTGCTGACTAAAAATTACACACACCCTTTTCGAAGTCGGTTAAAATACGAAAACTGAAATTTTCCGTATTTAAAATAATGTGTAAACCAGAAAAGTTTGTTAATACGCTCTAATCTCCGAAACTACTGATCTGAATTGAATAATTCTTTCTGAGTTGGAAAGTCCATTTATCAAAGAAGACTAAATGTTATAAAACTTCGCGCTACTATCAATAGGAGCCGAGCAGAGCTGACCAAACCGCGCGGAAATAGCTAGTTCAGTATAAAATCGACATTACCAGATCGAGATCTGAAATTATCAGTCGAAAAGCATCAGTCGTTTTGGAAAAACTACGTAAATTTTTAAAATACATTCATAGGTATATTTTGATATATTTGATAGTTTATTTTACACTATTATACACCAATAGTTATGGGGGCTAAGCTAATTGGTTTAGGGATCAGAAATTGCCACCAGACCACCACAGATGGGGCCCAGCAGAGCTGATGCTCGATACGGAGCCACGGAAGGCCTATCGGGCTGCCGGGGCTCCGGCTCGAAAAGCAGAAGTAGGAACGGGGTGATTTTAGTGGGGGGTCAGAAATTGCTCAAAAAATTGTCACCTGGACCTAATATGAGAGCTACGCCTATGTGGGGTTCAACATTAATACACTGACGTTATCTTTATAGACATCGATATATTATGATTATTATGTATATTATGAGTTTCAATATTAAAGTTCCATATTAATTGCATTATTTGACTACACGGTTGTTGCGATAACTGGCAACAGGGTGCCGTGCAGCGTGCCGCGGTTTGATTCCCGCACGGAATAACTCTTTGTGTGATCCACAAATTGTTGTTCCGGGTCTGGGTGTCATGTGTATGTGAACTTGTATGTTTGTAAACGCACTCACGACACAGGAGAAAATCCTAGTGTGGGGCAAATAAAAAATGCATCCTGAATTTAAAATACAAGATATCCCATATTATCCTGTAAAAGTACGACCCCTTTTGGAGAAATAGATATATTTCTAAAAATTTTTTTTTGTTGTGGCAACATTCAACATTTAACAACGAAGTTGTCACACTGAGACACAAATAGACAAACTGTCAGACAGTTTATGGAACAATCTTTGTATTCTTATAGTAACTACTACATCATACGACTATATAAACGGTTTATT